GGCTAGGTTTCCTATATCATACAAAGAGAACTATGATACATCGTTACTTGTATATACATCTGCATGTACCGTGAAAAATACAATCAAGACATGTTGGTACTGGCATCGCTGTAAGATTTATGAGGGCCATTCACTAGCTTCGGGTTCCATGCCTGTAACAAAGGCGTTCCACTCCGATAAACTACGGGTTACGACACATCAATAAGCGTCACCAAAAGACAGGCGCAGAGAAATTTCTTACCTGAACCCAAGAGGCGCGTCGGTCCATGTGTCGATAGTCGGTTCTCTGGAAAACTCCGATTCCATGTTAAGATATAGCGGCTGGACTGAGCTTGAGAACCCAAGGAAAGGTTCATGTGCCCAGCCAAACGGCAGGCCGGCGCCCAGCTGATTCGCCAAGTTATTTTCCGAGTATACTTGTTCACCTAAGAAGTCAGGTCTCGTTAATTGATAATCAAACGGACAGAACAACACAAAAGTACAGAAGGGCTGAATACTTTGAGGAAGTGCATTTTGTGGCATGGCATCATACGGGCTCCATATAGAAGCAGCTGGAGCAACAGCCACGTTCTCGTAAAGTCGTGTCGGGGGTACCGTGGAATCATGTAATGTTTTAGAGCTCTCTACGAAAGTCAGGGCCTTGAACAAGAGGCTACAAGCCCATCAAAAACGGTCCTGTCAACGCGAGCTTTCACAATAAACTCACAGCACGCCCCCTTTGATATTCCACCTGTCGGTTGAACAAGGTTAGTTCCATCAAAGTCTCGTAAGACCCAAGACGCACGTATGGGCAGCGTTTTCGAGGGCGGCTAGACACAGTTCAAATCCTGCAAGGTCCTTTGCGTTAAGAGCATGACCCGCCCGTTTGACGCTCCAGATATTCATAGCGAACACAGTGCCGGAGGTGAACGCGCCCATCTACCCTTAGGCGTAAATCAATATAAAGAGAGGAGCGATTAGACACGTACAACTATCTGGGGATTGACAGTCCTTATCCTGGTCATGTGAACTTCGATGATTCGAGTGCACGCCCTCGCCGCATTTGTGCAAATAATGAGAGAAGGCACGGACAAAGACGAGTCTTTGCGTAGGAAGGGGCAGTGTATGAGTATCTGGACCATATAGTAGATGCTGTACAGGGATGCGGATTGATACAAGAATAATCCATTCTCACGTTTGGGATCCCAACGTACTAAGACGGAGTCAATAAGATGTCGAACAGGGATTATTAGATACACACAATGATCGGGGATCGAGTCCACCCACGCATTCAGAGAGGAATCCAACTCGGCAACTAGCCGCTGCTCCCAGCTCTTCCCCGTGAGACCCGACATGGCTCGAGCTTTCTTAATAGAACACAATGTCTTCATGACAACGGACATTATTTCGGTTAACCGTATCACAGCGTTGATATAGCTGATTTGTGAAGGTTCGTCAGAGGGTTGATTGAAACGTACTTGGCCGTCTGGAGCTACCTCCCAATAGTCGTCGTCACACTCAACTGGCATTTCTAGGTCCAACCTGAAACGATTTGTTGAACAACAGCCTCATAATCTGTGGAAACAACGTACTCCTCGTCTTGTATCATGGCAGGATATCCAACATATAGTCCTAGGAGCCTATCGAGTACAACAAGCACCCTGTGTAGAATCTCATCAGCATCCCGCGTTGACAGCAGCTTGAACAAGAATAGGCCTACCAAAACGACCGCTTCTTAAGCTCGTCGTCCACCGTGAACTTGCAGCCTCCCGTCTTTCGTCTATGTAGCCCTATAGCTATCGCAGAACGTAGTCCAACCCCGATCATGGTCCAGCTCAACTCGGGAACAGAAGTCCCAAGGGCGTATACAGCCCCGAGCTATCAGGGCGACCCTTAGTTAGACGGAGCTAGAGGGCATTCTGACTTACCACAGCGACCTGAAGCTCGTACAAGCATGGAGGATCGTAACCTGCTTTCTTGTAGATATGGACCTGTTCGAAGAATCTCCATCCCGAAGAAAGCTTGGAACTTGGATTTGCCAAAACTCGTGGGTCGTCAGAATATCGCGAAGCCACTGCCAGGACAAGCAGTAATGCAGCGCCGAAATCATGGTCTCGCAAATGTAATCCTTCGTCAACTTGCTTTTCGAAAGTAGGCCGATGCAGAACTGGAACGACTGGATTAATTGTTTCGAAATAGATAGCAACGAGGCTCTGGATGAGGTCATTGTCGGGATACACATAACGAGGAGTCTCAGCGTCGGCTGTTGCCCGTTCCCACTAAGGGAGTCAAGGTTCGTGAATTGTGAAAACAAAAGACTCGAAGGTGAAACACACAGGCTGTAGATCGAAATGCTCTCGAAATTGTATCATATTCTCGTCGCCTGTAGACTTCTTCTTGATATATATGGCATCTGTAAGGAGTGAAAAAGTGCTTGAACGTCCGAAATACCTCTGGCTAAAGCTCTCGAAATGGTGAGGCGCCAATCTTTTTAAACTTTTCATGATGTCCGGGTGTGAAAAATCCTCTGACTCGGTAATCTCGGATGATTGGCTCACTTGTCGAGACGTAGGGGCGCACATGGATATCGGCGGACGTTCAGGCGAGGTCTCTCGCCCTGCCATTTCTTCTGATTGATGAACGTTCGGATTGAGCTACGGAAACTCAGAGAAGGTCCTAGACTAAAATAAGAACATTTGCACCTCTTTGAGCATACACTCCAGCTGATTCACGCGCCGTTCCAGGCTGTGTACGTACCTGATGGCTATCTTATTAGTATATATGAGATCTAGCGGTACGTGGGAAGCATACCTAAGGTGAGGCCCATGTCTCTTTGAGCTCGAAGCGGTAGCAAGGGAATCCTGTGTATAACTACCAGAGTAAGTGCTCAATTTGAGTGTCGACACGGATAAAAAGAACCTTGGCATTGACCCACGTCTCTGTACAGAATAAGATGACGTCGCGAATTCCAACGGAGAATGAAGGCGTACCTTGATTAAATCTGTATGCGTGCACTTTGTATTGGATGCGACACAATTTGAACAATTGTTCTCTTGCGCGGTAGCCCTATGGCCTGTGGAGAAAAGATTTCTGAATTTCTTCAAGGTGAGAAACGCCGACGAGAATACATTTAACTGGGAAAAAAAAACAGTCAGCTTCTCAGATCTCAGGTTCGAGACTAATCCATCGTGAAAAAGACAAAGGTCCCTAGGCCAAAAATTTAACAGATCACTGCGTTTTGGACAGAGTTCTGTGAAAAATCTGTGAAACGCATGAAGCGTCGTCATGCCCGGACTTCGGCAGATACAAGTCCAATACCAGGCACGGCCGCCGCACCACACCGACGTGACATTCTTTGAGCAAACTCACCTTTCTTTTGACGACACCTATCACATGCACCGGCCAGTCTCTTCTTCGCAGAAGGTACTTCTCGAAAACTGTTGTAGTCGAACATGATGAGGAGTCCAAACAAACGTCAGGAAATACGTCAGCCATATGCGGCAGTATCCTTCGATCACCTCGGCCTGGCATTGACGGTCCGAAATTCCGAGATTAACGGCGACTGGAACACCTTGTCAGTGAAAGTAACATGAAGATTCTGCTTGTCAAGGTGATAGACTGTCGCTTTGCTATCGTTTGCTTGATTTGCCCTACTTTGAATGCTCTCCAAGGGACCACTTGGGATCAGGCAGTCCGCGAATGACAGTCAACCATGATGATGAGGCGGGACGTCCGTTAACTTTGGTTCCTGCATGTACAAGACCAAGAATGACTCCACATTGTCGTTGATGATCTTGTCGGCACTATCCGAGAAGAAGGTCTCGTATACGAAGAGTTCTAACGAAAATTTTCTTGGACCGCAAGATCCTTTGGGTTATTGTGCCTGCAGGCATAGAAGAGCATGTCAATGCCTGCATCGGTTCTTTTTCTGTGCTCTGCGGGAAAGATCCGGTGGCCAGGAAGCCAAACGCGATGGATCGAATAGCGTAATGATTGGCTAGACAGCTGATGATCTTACAACCCCCAGATTGATGAGAAGAGAACGTTGACAATAAGTGATTTAAGTTAGAACACGAATCAGTTGCGTCCAATGGCAACAATACGGGAAATACTCTCCGCATCTAAGTATTAGCTCTGATGGATCTTTGGTAAGAACGCTCGACCGGTAGTCGGCGGGATCGACAGGCTTCGAAGATCCCCCGTAGCCAGGCTGTCTTGAACTGTGAGAGACTGTAATTTTCATTGTCAAAGACGGCAGCTTGGTGACGCCGCCACTTGAAGGTGATGAGGTAGCCGTAAAGGAAAAGCAAGTGACCAGCATATTTTTGGGACAAGAAATAGTAGTGGATCGGCCATGAAGTTTTTGTAAGGGCGTACATAATGGGATTTAGACGCTGTCGCAAGTCCTGCGTTGGTTAAATACGCAGCTGAGCAAAAGTTTAGCCAAAGTAGCGAACGGAAAAGTAATGCAGTCTCGTGCATCCTTCACTCCAGTAACGACTAGTAGGCAAATAGTAGGAGCTGAATCAAAGCAAAGAACCTTTATTCTAAAAGAGACCAAGGTTAAGTTGCATAGAAAGTGAAAACCAGCCAGAGTTAATTAGTGCTTCGTGCCAAAAGATGCGCCTGGCCGCCCTGCCGTTGCTCACGTAGATCTCCAGTCGCGCTTGCACTACTGTGATCCTCAAAATTGTGTTGTCGGAAAGTCTCTTCATACAACTTCCTTCATTTACAGGAAGAAATAAATGTCTTGAAGCGGTACCAATGGAGGATAGATCAAAGTGCTCGACAAATTTACGGTGTTTATGCCACCACAGACTCATAAGTAGGAGTTTAACTGACCTATTGAATCATAATGGTGCAGGAGGCACGGATCGGACTCGCCGTACATTTTATCCCCCTTGGATATCTTGTCGGAGAGGTGTAGAAGAAGGCGCGTTAGGACTCGGCCCGATATGTCCGAACAGGCACAACCAAGGAACCATCACGCGATTCATTTTTTTGGCATCGGCTTGGTCATTGCCAACAATATCTCGTCCCAACGTCACCTCGAACCGGCATCATCAACGGCGATTATATTTTTCTCTTGGAAAGACAACACAAGGTGGGTACTTATTGTTTTACTTGTTAACGATGCCCCGACTCATGAAGTTCAAGGTACCAGCCAGAAAAAATTCTATTCTGCCATACACAAAGCGTCTCTATGTTAGCTGAAGTTGAGACCCAAGAGTCGCCTCACCCACCCATTGAATCTCTTCCCCCTGAAATTCTTTCAGAAATATTTCTCCTCGTAATTGAAAGGCCTTATAGGATTTTTGGACATCTATATCGTGGGCCACAGCTACTGGTGAGGGTCTGTCGACTATGGCGCGACATCGCACAGAACTGCCCCGCTCTGTGGTCGTCCTTTATGGTGCATTGGCCAGAAAATAGGCAAGAAGTCGTCGGAGCGAAACTGCTCCTGGACACGCTTCAGCAAACTGGACGACGCGGACTGACCATGACGATATTTTTATCCGATGATTTTCCCTCTTCCATATTCAAGGCTCTGGTCCAGCATTCGTCTCAGTGGGAAGATGTTCATCTACCCACTCTTCCTAGGACACAATCAGCGCCACAAAATCTCCCTCCGCTCCATTTGCCATCGTTAAAATCACTTGTCTTGGGTCGGCAACATTCCGTAGAAGACCTCATCACCAAGCTGAGCATGTTCAAAATCGCGCCGAACCTCAGATCTGTTGTATTCCACTTCCACAACACACCATCATCTGATTTCGACCCAAGTGTAATACAAGCACCGTGGTGGCAGCTTACGCGTTTATCCATGTCGCTTGGGCTGACGGGGGATTCTTCGATGGAGGCGAGCATTGAGGTTCTTCGGCTCTGCCCAAACCTCGAAACGTTGAGGGAAGAGACTATACTCAACCCAGATTCAGGCAACACCACTGTGACGCTCCGGAAACTCCGTTCGTTCAGCGTCAAGTCTCCTCAGTTGCTAAATTACCTCGACTATCCAGTGCTGGAACACCTGTCAATCCTTCCACGATACGATATACCACTTTCTGTACCTACCCTTTCACAACTCGCTCGTTCTGGGTGCCGTCTGCACTCTCTTCACATTTGGCTAATGTGTCAACTAGAGCACCCAAAGGACCTTTTCTCGTGCATGCCACACCTGTGCAAATTGCATCTCGACATGGAATATTACGGCACGGATACGCTGGAACTCCTAGAGTGTCTTGGCTTGGACGACATGAACTCCACGCTCCCCAACCTGAACGTTTTGGAGTTGAAGGTACAGGAGCTTTTTACAGGAGAAGCCCTATCCGAAGAAATAGGGGAGCTATTGGTTAGGATTATTGATGAACGTCGGATTATCCCCCGAGGATCACAGGTTCCCCAACTGCGTCAGGTCTGTATCAGGTGCTGTAAAGCTGGTGTTGAAGGGGTTGGTGGAAAAGAGGAGCTAGGAGACCAGACTGCCCGAAACCTTAGAGCTTTGTCTAACATCGATTGTCTGAAAGCGTTCAAGGCCGAGGGATTAGATCTATCTATCATTGTTGAACAAGGTAATTCTTCATCTCACCGTCTCGCATTCGCTGACATCCTGTATAGAGAATACAAATGGACGGCGCAAGGATTGCGTTTTTCTATGATACAAAGCGCATTGGACAGACTGTACAGACTGTTTTGTAGGACCTGGAACATGCTCCTTTACTTTCCCTGAAGTACAGCTACAGCTGCGACGAAGCCGGCTTCGCGGGATTTATCGAACCAATCATGATAGAAGCGGCTATCGTTGCACATGCTCGTCAACTGGGCTTCTGAATATTTGAAGCGATGTCCCGTAGGTGGTCTCGAGACTTTGAAGATCGAAAGGACTCGGCATCGCTAGCAATCATCTCGACGAGGCATGCCAGACGACGATATCATCGCCCGTACAGGAGATAAAGTGTACAGGCTTGTCCCGCTCATTCTAACCTCTGCTTTTGCATGCTCCCAATAATCTACGCAGCTGAGCTTCCACATCGCAGCGGCCCATGCTCGTCATCCACTGAAACGATCTCGAACTCCAACTGTATCTTAAACCAACCTCGACTCACTACAGGCACGAGATCTTGCTCATAGTTACCTGTGACATAGTTAATGGTGGTGCCTTCTCGTTCTGGCTGCTTCCGCCCATGAGAAACTCACGTTTTGCAGGCACGACCACTGAATACGTCCATGCCGGTGCATATCCCCGAGGACCAGGTGGATGCGTTCTTTCAGGAATATGCATCGGCGGCGTAGTATGGGAACGCGCTCCTTTCCGATTAGAGGCTTCTATAAATCTTTGTCGACGCCCTGCCCGTGAATCGCATACCTGTAATACCTGTGGTAATTACCTCATTTCCTCGGCTTCATAACGTCGTTCATTCAAATACTTACTACAAATCTGCGGCATGTTGAAGCCTTTGAGGAGTCGGACATTAATAATCAACTTCATATTCGGGGTGGGGCCCTTCGGTTGTAACCACACTGATGCGGGTCCCGCTGTTACCGCTCTCTCCATCGAAATCTGATCGAGCCTATATGGGAACAGGTGCGGGACGGGGTCTCCAAATCAACTAGGAATGTGTGCTATCCAGTAGGCTATGAACTGGCAAGCGATTCGCAGGGGAAGCTAATACACTCAACGGGTGCGCTTGTCTAAGATACGCACACGCTGCTTCCGGCTAACTTTGTTTTCCACCGAGTAGGAACAAACTTCCTGGGTCGAGTAAGTCGTCGTCCATGGCGTGTGTTCAAACTCTGATGATTCTGCGCATATGCTGCGCCTACGTGTGTTTTTAGTGGGATGTCGTGAATGCATTTGAAAGTTTATTTGAATCTGGGCATGAAAGGGTACGACCCGCCCTTATTTGCGTGACTCGAAGATCTATCACAACACGCGGTGTACGTGATGTCAGTAATCAATTCGAACTGGACGGCTTGTTTTGCCTCATGTCCAACTAGTGTCAACGTTGACGCCTTGGAGGTCGAGCCTAGATTATCAAGTAGGCTAGTGAATTCATTTGCCACGGAGATGAAGAGACGCAGCGGTGATAACAGACCTATCGCGATGACCGCGCCTTCATCCTGTGACATCTGCTCTCAGCGTCGTCTTGACACAAGGCACCCGAATAACAGTAAGAATTAAAATTCTCCGTGACCAAAGCTAAAAACACGCGCCCAAGCCAAATCGTAAGCAACTCAAGTAAGGATAAAATGTCTATAAACTCCCCGCCAATATAAAAATGTAAATACGCAAAAGGAAAGTGACGGGTAATGAATGGGTTTTCGGTTGTAATAAAAAATGTGAATGCTACAAGTAGTCCAAATGCAAAAAGTCCAAGTTATTTACTGTCCCTTAAACAAGACGGGCAGCCTCGCTCTGAACAGACCGTGTTTAATCCAAAAAAAAATTACCAAGAAAGAACAAAGCTCACCGATCCACGAAAGACAGGAACGGGCGCTGGTGCAGCCTCCGGGTCCCTCTTCTTCCTGCCCGAGTACGAGGCAGACGACGGGCACCTCGAGTCTTGGCCATCAGCACATTTTCCAGAGTTCTAATCACAAATTGCCATCAGACCGGGCTTGGAAATGAGTTCACGATTATAAAGCTCACGGCATCGAACGAGCACGAATACCACCCCGTCGAGCCCGTGCGGAATCTATGAGAATACAAGAATAAGAGGGCTGAAGCTGGAAGGATGAGCGCAAGAGACTTACGTGCAGCCAAAGTGAGGTCCCTTGTAAGGCGGGGCATCACATCCCCAGCCGGCTTTCCAATTGCCGTGGCCATCGTGGTCTGGGCAAAGCCACCCATGGCCGGGTGTTGAGGACGGGTAGGAGCCACCCGCTACGACGGCAGACACGAGCGCGAGGAGAGAGAGGCAGCTAGTGAATCGCATGGTAGGATGAACGGCCGAGCTAGAAAGCAACTAACGTGCAGGGCGGTCCTTTTATATGTGACGAAAACGCGGATAGATTTCCACCGATCAAGGGATAACACACGAACGCCTCGGCAATTTCAAAGTCGATGTCATGTTTAGGACCAGGGCGTTTTGATGGGCGGTGTTGGGGGGTGGATGTAGCGTGGAGGATGCAAAGATGGTACCTGCACAGTATTCAGTGTATCCCTGTGTGTACCGTGAATAAGCGCGTTTCAAAATTCTCAGGATCGCATCAGGATCGCCAGCTTGTTGCTGCGCTGTGGGGGATCTTCACCAACCATCTCGAAAACTGCGCGTAGGGATCGACGGGTGGAAAGCGGATTTAAGTTTACCTCCCGACATGTCACAAAGCATAGAAGGATAAAAACTATTATGAAAGAAGAACACGACAAATTGCTCACCAATATCACGAACGTTCTCGACCCATGAGCAGATTCAGATGCAAATAACTTGGAACAAGTGATCTAAGTTCAATCTACGGGATAAGAAGCCCGCCATGCGATGGTTGTGATAGAGACCAACATTGTATCCATAATTAAGAATTGCGACCATGATGAATCTCCCCTTGTCGTTAGTCAAGGTAAAAGATCGCCGAAACTTGAAATTCGTGGAGTGTCAAGTCGAATGGTAAAATTGAGTCTGCTTACAACAGAGCAACGGTCTTAGCGCGGTAGTTCTTCTTGTTGAATTTGACATAGGCTAAGCGCGACACCGCTGGCGGCCATATCATCATTCATCTTCGACTGACAGCCAAAACGTGCCTCGTTAGACAACTGCAGGAGAGAGAGGAGAAAGTCATCATGCACCGGAGAGTAAGGCAGTTTGTGTAATCCTCCAACCCGACAATGGCCGATATTGATTCAATGACTGAATACCAACAGTTTCAGTTGCAAGGAAGAGCGGAGTTTTATCATTCCCGTACTTGATGAGTGAAGGGTAACATTGATCGAGAGAATCTTTGGTGAGAAAGAAGTGACGTGATGATGTTGCATGGACCTTCTTTCTAGAACTCTACCCAGGTTCCGCCATCACAATATCAGGATCCCCCTTGCACGGTAGATATACGGCACAGTTAATGCGCATCGATCACACGCAGGGCCAACAGTGATCTTTGTGAGTGACGAGATTGTAACTTCTTTGCATGCTAGAAATACAAGCGCGTTAAATGGAAAGAGGGGCAGTGTGACTCCGGCTGCTCGGCGCCTCCTGATATCACGGTATGGACGCTGATGGCAGCTCGGAGTTAACTAAGATTCGACCGAATGTAAGGAACAATGTAACTTACGGTTGGTCGTGGGGGTGTAAGATGATGGGTAACTTGAAGTAGCAAGAAAAGTTGTCTGATAGGAGCCGCGTATTCGAACATCGGCCCGAAAAATCGAACGACATAGCATTGAAATCTAGGCGATAGTCATAAGCACAGGAAGAATGGAATCCCCCGTCACCGGCGGACATCGAAACAAAGAACAAGACCCATTGGATCAGAGTGTTAGAGTCTCGGCTTGAAATGTGTACCAATGACTGCAGAGCAGGGGCCAAATGACTAGCAAAGATGTTTCCATCAGCGAGATATAAAAACCCTGGTAGATAGGTTTGGTCACTAGGAGGATCGTGGATATCCTCGGGTACAAGGCAAAGACGCCCGGGGGCTAAATGCGCAAGGAGATACATATAAACTACTGAAAGGATAGCCAAACACGACGCGTACCCGGGAGAACAAGAATACCCAATGCAACGGTGCGACAAAAACATTCCAGCGAGATTGGTACATCGATGCCAATGTCGAGAGGATCGGGTCGACTGGAGGTCTAAAGAACAACAAATGGTTTCATCGCACAGTAAAAGCCGGTCGTCGAGGATCGATCGCAATTAGCTATGATAATCCCTCTCTCGAATGCTAAGTATTTTCGGAAGAGAAAAACCGAAATTGGTGAAGATGAACCTCCCATGTCGGCGTTCTAGAGGTAGCCACTGTGTACAGCTGACTTTTCGAATGACTCTCCGGACCAGTATTTTCTCGTATCTGGGAAGAACAAGGTTTGTGTGACCGAGACCGTGATGTGGTATTTGGACGTCAGACATATGTGAAGCAGGCAGTTGAAGAACGATCTGTCATGGGCTCCATAGGCATGTAGTGCTCGAATACATAGGCGAGTCGCGAGCGAGACCAAAAAGTCTTCGTATTATGCACTATCTCTGGGAAACGAATATAATGAGGGGGTCAATGACTGTCGTAGTTCGAAGCAGGTTAGTCCTTACCAAATTGGCAATCGACTCGGGAACAGCCGACTCTTATTAGTGCTAAGTGTTGAACTCAGGATCGGGCGGCACGTTGGGAAAAGGATAGTTTGAGGCTAAATTACGAGCTGCGACGGCGGTGCACATAAATCAGCCTCGAATAACGACGATTCTGGTTTCATTGATAAAGGCAATAATCACCAGTGAAGTCACCTATGATGTGATGGCTCGAATATTCAACCATCGTTGGCTGTTGTTGACTGTTGTCAGCTTGTAACAATGTACACGGTTACTTGGGTCCCACATTGATTGTAACATACGGAGACAGTCGGTGAAAGAACAAAAAAGCCAGTGATCCTCCAATGAAAGTCGCCCGGTGGGAGTCGAACCCAACTGTCATACACAAAGTGAACTGACCGTTACACTACCAGAGACACAATAAGTACTTACAGTGAGATATCTATTGTTTGAGGCAAGGTTATTTTGTGCTGCCATCTGCCAGTAAGATGAGTCTACCGTTCTAAAGCTCGCAAATAAATAAAGTGCCCTCGAATATTGACCCATTGAATGTTGATCTGAAATGAAAAGACCATCATTAGGAAGCATTCTGACCTTTCCATGTTAAAATTTTTAGCGCACCATAGGCGATAAACTAAATAAAATCATTGACCGTCCTGTCATTTCTGAACTTGAGAAGGTCGCCAATTCCTTTTGCGCGTCCTGGAGTCCTAAACTCATCTGCAGACAAGGTTCTTGGTCCAGTGTTCTAAGGGAAAGGTGCTCGTGTATGGTATTAGTTGTAAATTGTCGTGCCGATCAGGATATGATAGAGGGCGATGCGTCAGCATCGCAGAACTACAGAAGTCAAAATCAGACGGAACGGCAGGAAGCGCAATTCATCTGCCTTCTTTCTTCCTCTCAGCCATCTCAATACTGTTGCGAATGATCATCCCAGCGCCATCAACGTGTTCTCTTGTTGGAATACCAAACATTCGGTACTAAAAGAAATAGATTTCGGCTGACACTTGGGCGTAACAGCCGCGTAATCCTTCAACAGACTATTTGTTGATTGTACACTACCTTTAAACGAAACATTTCTTCCGACGAATCAGGGCTATAGCCTATATCGAGTCTCCGAGTTCAGCTGCCTTTAACTTCCCTGACGGCTTCCCAGTGCGATGCATCCTTTTCAAACGCACATCGAGCTACCGGGACATACCATTAGATATGTAACGATTGAACGCGCGTGCCATTCACTGTAGTCGTGGTGTCGGTGCAGGACTCAGAAACGCCAATTGGCGGGCCGGTGTTACGTACGTAAGTGCCGAGATGCCGACTGTCTCCACTCTCCACCCGACTAGGCGGACCAGCACTGCGTCTCTGACGATATAACTTTTCCAAAACATTTCTGGGTAAAGCGTCATCCTTTTTTACCAGTTCTCGCTAAGCAACATGCTATGACCCCGCTACTACTCAATTTCGACCCTGGCTCGAGTCGCTCGACATGATCTTGGATTACAGCACTTCCGGAAAACCTTGAGAATCGATCGCGTTTATTTTTTTGTGTTACTCAATTAGGAAAGACCCTTTCTTGCCTTCTTTCCACGACGACTTCGCTTCTCTCTGTTCCTTTATGCTCATATTATGCCCTCTGCATGTGAAGAGATAGACCAGGACATCCGGGAAATATCTCAGGACCCAAAATGTGAGTTGCTGGTCCATAATCAAGGCTTAAATGACATGAATGTCCATCAGATTCCAAATGGTTTGCTTATGCACCAAAAAGAGTGAAATCCCGAGGCGGCAAGAAGGTTGGGTCTAGCACGACTACTGCACCAAGTGCCGTATTCAAGAAAAATGTCGTTCCACCTATACAGGCTAGCTTGGGAAACAGCAAGGCTCTCAATAATGAGCTCCTTTGCCCAACCAAGTTCCCAAAGATGCAGAGCACACTCTTTGAGGTCGGGACTGATGTATCGGTAGGGCATGGGCAAGATATAATACAGAAAGCAGCTGTAATCGTGGTGGGAGCTATGAAGTGTATATTTCCTATTTGAGTAATACATAAAAAAAAATGCGATCGATTCTCAAGGTTTTCCGGAAGCACTGTAAAAAAGACGGCGGAATAAAGAAGTGCCAAAGTGGTAGCCTTGCGCATCGTTTGAGACGTCCAGTACGTGAAAGAATACCCAAGCTATAAATTTTAATTGCCTTCCTACACTTATTGGTTCAGACACCGGGCGTCCTCCCAGTGGATGTTACCTTGAGCCAAAGTTCACGTCGCTCGAAGTCTCGAACCGAGGTCTTCATGGTGAAACATCTTTGCAGCTCAGAACTTGTGCATGAACGACGAAGCTATACTGTTCCCGTCCTTGATGACCGTCTTTCTTATGGTTATGCCGATGCTGAGATTATTTTATGATTATCGGGCCGAGTTCACAAACACGCAAACACGAAGCTAGCTGGTACGAGCGACGTGGAATTGGGATACCTTAGAGGACTGACTCATCCAGTAGCAACAGAAAACTCAAAGAACCGTTCCAGAGATTTTCTCGCCTTGTTCGGCCGATCGGATCCTCGATCTGGAGATAAACGAGTAATGGCGGCGTGATCTGGACTTGTGGCTCAACCACCGACCAACATTTGAGCATGGTCATACCAATGCTCAAAGACTTTTACTCCCCACCGTTCCATTGCCGGTCCGAATTTGTCAACGCCTTTCGTCAGCTTCTAGAGGCAAGTATCTCTTTCCTGGTCCATTTCTCCTCCAACCTTTTTATAGGGTCTCGATTTTATGCATAGCCTCAATATAACTCATGTGTAAATGTATCAAGTTCCTGATCTTACGCAGCTGAATCGGCATTTTGTAGTGACATGAACCTGCTCAACTTCCTTATGAACTCCTCGAAGGTTTTTTGAGAGGCTACCAATTTGCAGATGAACTGAGCTATGATGGCGTCCACTGGTCCCTTCCAACTCGCCTGCGATGCCGCGTCGGACCCGTCCGATATTATATTGACTTTGAGAGCACTCAAGAATACCCGGAAGGCAAGGAGAGTGCCTTGGCGAAGAGGCCTTTACGTTGCGGTGTGAAGAGTTCGCCGGAGTTCTCTCTTGGTTTTCCATGCAATCCGTTCAAATTATGACACTGGCACCACATTCTTCAAACTTTGTGAGGTGAGGATCTATTGATGACTATATTTGCATACCCATTGACCCATGCCACGATCAGCCCTATCAAGGACTGGATGATTTTAGGCCTCTTCTGCTCGACATGATGTCAGAAGACCCTCTTGCAAGACCCTCTATGGCGGGAGCACTTCAGAGGCTTGACAAGCTCATGTCTTCGAATGAAATGACGAACTATGGCTTCGCGGTCGGATCTGGAGAATTTATGCATGGATAAAACCTCCGTCGCCATTGGTCCAGTGTCTGTGGCGAAAGTTCCCGATACCTTCCCCTTATTTCTGACCTTAGCCGTTCTTACAATTGCTATATTGTCCGCTTCTCCTCTATATCGTTTTTTATGTCCTGCTTCGGAGTTCACTGCCATTCGCTTTCGCGCCGATATCACGTTCTTTTTATCACAGGTTTCCACATATAAACCATCTGCAGTACTATATTCTTCTGTGCAGTCATCGAAATCTATGACTCGACAATTGATCATATCGTGGGGCATGGCATCCTGTTTTTTCTCGCTCCAGGCCCTCGCAATTTAACTGATATCGGCTAGTTCATTGGGGCTCAAACAAGGATTTTAAGGTTTGTTAGACAAGGGTCGTAACTTGGTGATTCAAAGTAAGGGACATCGTCACGGGTACGCAGGGAAGTCTTCGGCCTTGCTAGTATACCGCGCCTTGAGGTTAGCACCCTATTTAAGTGAGTCATCTCGGTACCGAGGGCAAAGTTCTGGACCTAGATGTCCGATGTCAGCTTTAATGAATGACATTCTCACCTTGTGTCTTCTTTGGTCCAACATATCACCGTGTTATCAACTGTGCCTGTCGCCGGCTCTGCTGTCTAGTCTCCATTTGGATCCCAGTCGTGGCGTCAATGGAACGGAATTGCACTACGGACCGTAAAAATGACTCTGATAGTGACGGACAGCGTCCAAGTTTTTTCCCGATAATTTGAAGTGGAAAAAAGGCAGCGAGGAACATCCACAAATCGTCGTGTTCGCCCAGAAATTCGGCTAGCGCTGTCAAGCCACAAAGGAAACCAATTGGGATACTGTCGATGGCGAGATGCGTAACCACATTTGCCAAAAAGTTGAACCGCTGGAGAACTCCTCGTTACTAATATGCTTTCTTAGTCTCGATGGACGCTGTAAAATTTTTGAGGTGCAGAATAGATGATAACGGTCGGTAATTGAACACAACCAAAGAAAACATGTAGCGAGAAGAAAGATGCACCGGCCCTTGGTCCCTTCCAAGCTGCCGGCCCGGCCCGTTGATAGGCTCGTCGGAAGGTCCGTCCGTTGTCCGACTCAACGTTTTTCCTTTCCTCCCCCGAGACTTCGCTACCAACCATTCCCATCGGTTTTCGTATAGCAACCCTCGCGCCAGGATAAATATGCCACTACATATTTACATGTGTCGATAGTCGCTTTCATCTACCTCAACATCGGAACATTCGGAGACACCAGGAAGTCATTCCATCTGGACAGTAGCGCGTAGGAGAGAAATTTTGCGTGGGGGCATGGAACGGGAGAAGGGTGGGCACTCTCTAGTCAATAAACCAGCAAGAAACATCTGTTAGTACCGAGACTTGCATTGACTCATTTTGTACCTAGACTGGTGGGCGCCTCTCTCGCCATCCTTGACACAACAAAACAATTTTCTTCGAGGTGAAGCATATCTAGTGTATGGATAATCTAGCCTATATTCTGCAGTAAGTCGCAATTTGCAACCACCTATTCGGGTGTTTACCTTCACATTTTCTTCGAAAATAGCAGGCCTCAAAGAATTTACTCTTGTGTTCGGTCGTTTGCAAGATTTCGGCATGTACAGAACTTGAACACTGTAACGTTGCATCTAAAACTAGCTCATAGGCTATCGGACCGAAATGCCGCCAGCTCGTCGTTCCCAAGTCAGACTTCTTTACCTTGAGTCCGCTTCTGGTACTTCGACCGCCGGATAGACGGGTAAGTAACGTTACCGGCGCTGCCTCGTGCGACCCGGGGCAGCCAGGACACCGTGATTTGCATACCTCCCTCCTGTTCGCTGTTTCCCGGATAGCCACGTATATAAATCAACGTAGGATTCGTCACGGCGTCTAAAGCTCATCATGGATTCCTCCCTATACAAAGACTTCACGACCTCTCACGGCCATACCTACCACTACTTCTTCTCCCCCCCAAAGGATAACGCCAAACCATACCTGCTTTTTTTGCACGGCTTTCCCAGCACCTCGTTCGATTGGCGACACCAGGTTCCTTTCTTTCTCAGTGAGGGTTATGGGCTCATAGTCCCAGATATGCTTGGCTTTGGAGGATCCTCGAAGCCTGTCGATCTCGCGGATTACAGGTCGACCATTCTTACGAAAGATCTAGTGGAGCTAGTAGATGGGGAGAATGCTACCCAGGTGGTCGCCATTGGACATGATTGGTTCGTTCTTTGTTAAGATCACTTTGTGACCTGAGCGTTCTTCTCATCATCCTGAAGGGGCTGCAAGATCATCAGCCGTCTTGCTAATTACTACCCTGATCGATTCGTCGCGTTCGGCCTCTTGGCCGTCGGATATTTCCCGCCGAGTACGGAAAGTAATTACGAGCAGTTCCTGGACCTCGTAAGTATACTCTTCCATCTTTGCAGGATATAATAACCCAAATCATATTGCAGTCTAAGAAAACTTTCGGTTACGAACTCTTCGGATACTGGTCCTTCTTCTCTTCAGAGGGTGCCGACAAGATCATCGAGGACAATATGGAGCCGTTCTTACGACTCTTGTACGCTCATGACCCAAAGTTGATGATCTCCGATTTCGCGCCTACCGGCGCTTTGAAAGCGTATCTATTGCAAGGCAAGACCGACGTTCCGTTGGCTTCATACATCACCGAGGAGGTTCGTCATAATACTCATGTTCTTAATGCATGTATCTCATCTACTATATAGGAAAAGGACTTCCACAAGAAAGAACTCCTTGACGGTGGCATGGCCAGTTGTCTAAACTGGTACAAGATCATGACCTCGGAGATCGATGCCGAGGATAACAAAGGTGTGCTGGCTGACCATCTCTTGAATGCTCTTTATTCATCACGATTACAGCTGCCCCGGAGAAAAACCTTGAGGTTACGAAGCCAGTTTTCTACGGTGGTGCACTGAAAGACTTCGTCGCTCTTAACGCCGTCAACAAAGCGGGGACCGTTGCAAAATGTAAGAACGCGACTATTCATGAATATGAAGGCTGTCACTGGGTGATGTGGGAGGCGAAAGATGCAGTCAACCGGGATTTGTTGACTTGGCTGAAGGCACTGTAATTGTAGTCATGATCTTGAAATATAATGTCAAAGAAGACGAAAGTTGTACACTAACGATGAGGCACAATATATATCACTCGTGCAGGACTCAAGGCGGATTAGGGCTTAATTCGGCAGAGGCCGCCTTTGTGCTCAGGCATGGATGTCGATCAGAAAACATGTGTTCTACTCGTGTTACATGATGCGTCCATTGGTATCCGTAAAATTTACAATGCAAGTAGCACGAAAAGTCTCATGGTGCGACTGTCACGTACTTGTACCTCGCGAACCTTTTCTCCTCCAGTTCCCGAACGTAGCTACGCACGATAAAGAGCCCATCTGCAAGAACAAGGGGGTCAGAAATTTGTCCAGAGGATATTAGAGGTCCACGAACAGAATTGAACGAGCCATATTATGCCGTAGATGACTACAACAACAGCCTTTGATACTTTAAGCGCTGTGTCGCAGACTTGCTTGGCGGTATCGGCGCTAGCATCGACAGAGTTTATGCAATTAGAGGTGTCGATCTCGTATTTGTTGCTGAACAGAAGGTATAACGAGTATGCACCAATCGCCAAACTGATGATGAATGATCCTATTTGCAGACTGTTGAAGGTAGATACGAGGCCTGGCCTCGCGGTCAAGGCGCCTACTAGCCTGTATATACGTCAGCCCAAGTATAGAGACTTCAATGGGGGGATACTCACCCAAGGAGAGATGTAATGGCAACAAGAGTATACACAGCAGCGACGATGTACACCGTTATTTCTGCGGTTTTCGAGAGCTCAAGTGTATGGTTGATGATGTTGTGAACATTTATCCAAGCGCCTACAGCGACAAGAGTGCTACCGGCAAGAGTCAAAGCTGCAATAACCTGACAGAAATTCAGATTGGTTAACAATTATAGGGGGGAGAAAATGCTTACCAAAACACCTAGACGGAGGGGCAAGCAGCAGAGGAAATGATGCCAACGCATGACTGCAGTTCAAATGTGGAGGGACAAGGGAGAGAAGAAGGATAACTGTGGAGATGTTGGATCTGTATGCGAGTGCTATAAGGGCTGCGATGGATGCAGTGCTCATGGTCCGGGGAAGACCAGTGCAACGCCCTAAATAGGCTGTAGCTCGCGCGTTTCATAATCATCGCCATTCGCACTGCCTTCCTACCGCATAAGTATATGTAGATATACGAGATACCAAGACCTGGGTTCTCCCTTCTTGTAAAGGCTTGGTCCCAACCTGGTCCCGCGTTGAATGGCTCTAAATTTAAGCAATTCAGCAGAAAAGAAAGCTGAATAGATGAACCAGTCATACTGAGTTCCAAAACCACCTTGCATGGCTGACTGGCGCTGAAAAGATAATGCGCATACGCAGCAAGTAGAGGATTAAATGTCCGGCATGCTCATGAATGCTTCGGTTGGAATCGGAACTCGGGCCGCTGAGGATGCCAAGACTCCGTTAGACGATCGGAGTGACGTAACTTCACGTGACTGATGCGTAACAGAAATTCAATTGACGTTTTGTCTCTCCAAACATGAACCACCCCTTTCACTATCGAGACTATCATGACGGACGATGACGGTACTCAGGCAATACCTTCTAAGAAGAGGAGATTGGCTGGCGCATGCGACAGGTGCCGTAGAAAGAAAAGTAAGTTCACTTAACAATGTGGATACACGTTTGACTCGAATACGTGCCGAAATCCGTGATGGCGACGCGTTTCGGCAGTGTCGGGCGCTGGACTCTCCGCAGAGTCGACACACCTTTTGCTGCGCATCGTCCACTAATGACGTTGGAGAAGCGCGTCTCAAGCGGTTATCTCGGACTGCCAGCACAGCGATAATTTTGTTTCTACTAAGTGCTATTTTCTGTTGCTGATCTATCTCTTCTAGTTAAATGTATAATTATGAGCTTTTCTTAGCTTTAATAAATTACGAAACGCTCTCTGTACAGGCGATAGCGCTACCGCTCCGGGAAATCGTTGTTCAAACTGTGTCGCGTTCGAAGCAAACTGCTCACATACGGACTTAATCAAGGTACGCTGTCAGTCTTTTATGGATTTCACGGTGTAAAGGATCACTTCCAGAAACGTGGGCCAAAGCCAATGTCGGTTTTATCTGTATCTACGCTCAACGTAACACTAATTCTTGCAGCCATGCCCAAGAACCTTTTCCTATCGCTTCATATACAGAGAGACAAGATTCTGACACGAGGCGCGTTGTCACGTACCATTTGTTTCTGCTTGAAATAACGAAAGGGTTAACAGCCATGTACAGACTTTGGAACGTCGTGTGAAAATGCTGGAGACTATGCTAAAAGAGGTGCGAATTTTTTTCTATTATCGTTTCCGACGTTTCCTAAGTCATCATAGCTCAATCCGGATGCCATTCTACCGGAAGGAGGAGTGGTGCGAGAGATCTCACCCGATTACATGCCAATATACTCGCAATCAAGTACTTCCCGACAACCGAGCGAATCATCTGAAGTAGCCGAACCCGAAGAGGACTTTTCGCATCCAGATCTCCTGGAAAATATGAAAAATTTGTCTCTTCATCATGGCAACCACTTCGGCCAGAGGTATTTTGGACCATCAAGTAGCTTTTCGCTGCTTACCAGCGCCCTATCTATCAAAAAGAAGTTCACCGGCAGCGACAATATGATACAGTTACGGGATCACTTCAATTTGCAGCCTGTGGGTCCTGTCTCAGCTCTGTATCTCTTTTGTACTTACTGACCTTGACTCTGGCAGTGGGAACGAGCAACAGCTGACGCCGAAACTCCTCATTATGTATATCCCGACAATGACCTCATCCAGAGCCTCGTTGCCATTTTTTTCGAAACAATCAACCCCATTATTCCTATTCTGCACCGGCCTACATTCCAAAAGCACGTTGAGGAAGGACTGCATTTGCGAGACTATAATTTCGGTGCTGCGTTACTTCTTGTCTTGGCAGTTGCTTCGCGATATTCTGATGACCCGCGTGTATTGGCAAGTCCCAGCTCCAGACTTTCTTCTGGATGGAGATTCTTCGAACAGGTTCGCATCTTCAAAAATGCGATATATACTCCTGCCTCCTTGTATGAACTCCAGTTCGCTGCTGTATGCTCTTTTTTTGCTTTGCTGCCACCAGGCTAAGCCACTGACAGCTCGGGGCCATATACGCGATTGGAACTTCTATTCCTCAGTTCAGCTGGACAATGATTGGGATTGGGTTACGTTCTGCAATAGAAATAGGGCTACATAGACGGAAGCCTGAAGGTCACAAGTTAACAGTCGACGACGAACTCAAAAAGCGATCCTTTTGGTATACTTGCTCTTTTTTTGTCAGAAGAGATACTGATAAAATTACACATAGGGCACTTGTCGTATTCGATAGACTCACGAGTCTATATATTGGACGGCCCACGCTGGTACAAGAAGAGGAGTACGTTGTTCCATGATTATGACATTTCTCTAAATGATGTGCAAAAGCTTCGACCTAGAGCCGCCAATCGAATGTGACGACGAATATTGGGAGATAGCTCCAGATGGCCAAGTACATTTCAATCAACCGACAGACAAGCCGTCAATAATCAGCTATTTCAACGCTTCGATAAAATTAAGTGAAATAATGTCCTTTGCCGTGAGGACGTTATATTCCATCAAGAAAGGTCGGGATGTGTTGGGATTAACAGGCGAAGGATGGGAGCAGCGATTGGTTGCTGATATAGATTCATCCATGAATGCATGGGCGGACTCAATCCCTGATCATTGTATGTATCCATTAATTCTTGTTCGATGTCTTGTTGACTCGATTTTAGTACGCTGGGATCCCAAACGCGAGAATGGAATATTCTTATATCAATCCGCCGCTTTGTATAGCATCTACTATATGGCCCAGATTCTCATACATCGACCCTTCCTACATACAGACTCACCCTTATCTATACCTTCCCTCGCTATCTGTACGAGTGCGGCCAGATCTTGTACTCGGATCCTCGAGGTCCACATGACTAGAATGAAGACCGTCACTCCTCACATAATTGTACGCATCAAACCTTTCTTCGTTTCTGTGGATTTACCTTGTATGCAGATGGGCACCTTTACCTCTGGCGCCGTGTTCGCTATGAATATCTGGAGCAGCAGACAAGCAGGCCATGCTCCCAATGCAAAGGACCTAGCAGGATTTGAATTGTGTCTGGCCACCTTCGAAGATGCAGCCGATACGTGCGTGTTAGACTCTTCCGTACTTAGGTGAAATTAATGTTGCTCGACGATAGGTGGAACGTAGCTGGTCGTTCACTGTAAGTGCTTCGAAGATTTGTATTTGCGTGTCCACTGAGAAGCGCTCAGCAATATTTTCAAGGCCATAGCTTCAGTGGAGAACGCAAAAGTGTCTACCGTTCCCCCAACACACCGTCAAGAAATGGCTACTCTCTCTCCAACTGCTCCTCCGCGGAGTCCGTACGACACTGTGCCACGAACTACCATTCTTCAAGGAGTTCAACCCTTTGGTAGACAAACCTTTCCCCCTCGGTCTTGAATATGTATTGATGAACGCTTACCTTTCAGTTGAGCAAACATACTCTGACGGCTACACGGCGACCCAGCTCGGCACTGGTATTCCCTTAGGCTGGACAAATGGAGCGTATCCTGCATTTCAAAGTTCTCCTCAACTGCCATTTCTTAATATGGATTCGGGGTTGTCGGCAGGGCTGGGGAACAGCGCCATCAATATGTGGAATGACGCACTTCTTGGTTTCGGGTAGGATATCCCTCCTTATCTAACTTTTGGCGAGGTTTGTTGACGTATTGTGATCTGTAGCTTCTCTGAGTGGGACGCGTATGTTTCCAACATGACGCCCGGAACTAATGGACAACCTTGACAAGTCTTATAGCCGAAGGTCACTCGCATTTTACCGTATTTCTCATTATCAATGCAGGTGTATGTACTAATGCGACTGTATTATAGTTCTCTTTGTGTAGCACCGGGATGATAGAATCTTTTGTCAACTTAAACAAGGATGTAGAACTGAAGCCCCGCTCAGTTATTGCCACCGGTGGCTGTGTAATGCATATGAAACTCTGCTCAAACCTCGACGTTACAGGCCCTGACGACCGTTAATCCGTCATATTTGGTGCATTATTCCCCTCCTTTGTAGCCCTATAAATGAACAACACCGCCTACGAGTTACTAGTAGGCAAAATAAGTGACACTTTGGCTTCAACCCACTCAAACCAGTTAACGGCCGACAGCAGTTGGTGCGTCTCCTTATAGAAGACAAATCTGCTCAGTCAGTATGTCTAAGCAGTACACATCATTGATCTTATGCACTATGGCTCAAACGTCGCCTCCTTGTTCTCCCTGCCATCTGCGCTTATTGAAAAGTGGCGGGATCGCTAGACCTCCCCCCTATAAAACCCTGATAGGATCTGTCCTACCTCCGGACTCTCCAGAATCACTCAAACAATCCATCGATTCTCTTATTAAGGAAGCTCGTATGGAGCTGTCCCAATACGACTCCATCATTCACGATTTGATTTCAACTGTAAAGGAGGCCGAATCTCAACGTAACAAGGTCCGCGAATTTATCAACGCCCATGTGTCACTTAATCCGCCCGTCCACGCTCTTCCTCCAGAAATTTCGAACAAAATATTCCTCTTCTCGTGCACGAGCCCGTATAGGGTCTTTGGATCTTGCAATTGTGAGCCCCGAGTGATAGGGGGAGTTTGTCGCCGATGGCGCGACATTGCTTAGAATTCCCCCAAATTGTGGTCATCTTTAAACCTCACATGGAACTTAAGATGGAACGAAGGTATCGGAATCAAGTTATTAGGCAAGCACTCGAGCGAAGTCTTCAAAACAAGTTATCTCTGGAGTTGAGGGTGCCGAGCAGGATGCCTAGATCTATCATCCAGGGCTTGGTTCGCCACTCATTGCGATGGGAAGCCGTCCGTCTGGACGAACCTTTGGGAGACCCTTCTTTCTGGACGAATGGTCCTCCACTTCATTTACCGTCCCTGATATCACTTGATCTAGGCTCGGTACCGTACGACAACATGGCTACTACCTTAAAAGCATTTAACGATGCGGCACCTAGCCTAAAATTCCTCACATTCCATCTGTTTGAGTATGACTACCGCCATAACACTTCCCTGGGTCAGTCGCCGCAGATCATACACTTGGCAACATCGTTAGGGGCGAGAGACCTGATATTAAGTATCCATATTCTTTGCCAATTTCCTAATGTCGAGGTATTGGAGGCAGGTACCGACTTCAAACTCGCGAACAACTCCGGATTCCCCAACCCGTTGACTCTACCGAAACTGCGTTCGCTTACCATCAACTCTTCAAAGCTACTACCCTTTCTTATCTGTCCCTTGCTGGAGCACATATCGTTTTCAAGTTACGAATATGATTTCTCTGCGGCATCATTCTCTCAATTTATTACCCAATCTGGATACCAGTTACAGTCCCTCGAAGCTCAAAACATGTCGAAAGTGCTTTCGAACCCCGCACAGGTTTTCTCATCTCTGCATAGCCTCAGTAAACTTGTGTTGTTCATGGTGGATACGGTGACATATAGAAGGGAAGAGGAGAAATTCTTCAAATGCCTCGCTTCGGTCGGACCCACGGGATCGGATATGTTGCTTTCAAACTTGGCCGTTTTGGATTTGAAGATGTATGCATTCTTCCCAAGTGATTTCCGGACTATGGATGCAACACTCGTCACACTGATCGACAGCCGTTGGAATAATCCCTCGGGATCTGGATTGCGTCGAGTTATCCTCAGGTGCTTCAAAGCTGGCATTGAAAGTAATTATGACGATGAAACAGCGGAGGATGAAGGTGGACGATCCACGAGAAATCTCATAGCTCTGTCCCACATCGATCGTCTTAAAACTTTAAAACTGGAAGGATTAGATATAACCATCATACTCGAAGGTGAAGTTCAGGGTTTTATTTCACAAGTAAATTGCCTTTGCTGAATCGTATGATAATAGATGTGTACGAAAGGGTAGGGAGAGTAGTTTTCCTCTGATTCATAGCACAACTTAGCAAACCCTGCAGCACCTTCATACCGACTATTACGGTTGATTTATTTTTGTGGATGGACGGCATTCGAGAAGTGGAAGAACAATGGTTTGAACGGTCGCCCCGTGTGGTCGTACGATTCGCATTGAGTAGCCTGTGATTGGATTCATGCGCGAGGCGGTAATACGTCAGGGATTCGACAAGAATGGTGCTGTATATCTTGATATTTTTGCCAGCAGGATGATGATATAAAGGATAATCTCATCGTGGATTACTACACGTACTTCGACGGAAACTTTATGACTGCTTACATGGTAGTGCTTCCTTTCCCTGCTAACGCTTGGCTTCCGCTGCTACTCTTGAGCTCTGCATGTAGTTCTTAAGAGTCCGTCTAATTTCCAGGCCCGTGCTGCGGTAGAAGAATCCAACGTCGGGGGTTGGTCGTGGGCGAAAGAGTTCGACTAGGAAAACCGGTCCGTGGACCGGATTCTTGTGCACGTGCAAGCGCCGCCTGTCGTGCTTGAACTTCTTCAATCTTGTCATCATCACCCCAAAATTCAAGTGACGTATCGACGGAAACATTGTGTTCGGTATGAAACACCGGAGGCCTGGCGTTGCAGTTCTAGGATACATATAGGCGTCTTTTTTTGTCGTCGTATCTGATAACTAGTCGGTTTGGATGCACTGAGTGCACTTCAAGTTATTTTTTCCTAACATCTATGCCAGACCATTACGAAAAGGTGCGCTCTTCTAATGATGGATATGCTATGTTCTAACGCGGATACTAGTCTTCGGCACCCGCATGCTCTAGTAGAATCTTCGCCTGTCTTTAATAAGTCTTCATAGTTGGTTTGATGTACTAGATTCGGAAGGGCGACGGGTATGATAGTGAGCATCTACGCGCTGGCTTATTACCTGTCGTACTGAGATCTCTCACTTCAAAGATCCAAAGTTAGCATGGGAATACTGATTCTTATGAACCGCGGACTGGATCTTGTCGGAAGATAAGCTAACCAGGATATGAAGTATGGCACTGTGACTCCCGCTTGTAGTCTTGGTACAGGCAGCAGTGGTACGTACTAGCTTCTTAGATGCCTAGCCAAGGATCCTAAATCCACCGTC